CCCCTCCATCCCTTTCAAACAACCCCTCCCCTCCCCCCACCCCGACTGCCGCAGAAATCTAGCCAGTAACACCTTAAATTGTTTCGCCGAGCACAACGAGCCAGGAAGGTAGAAGTAACACGAAATAATAGTCGCCACATGCAGCTGATGTATAATTCATGCATCAATCCAGCAGATGTGTTGTATAAAGTAATTAACTAATCAGAACAATCAGGAGAGAGAGAATATGAAAGAGGGAGGGAGAGAGCGAGGCAGGCAGAGAGAGAGACAGAGAGAGAGAGAGACAGAGCAATCTCCAGATGCATCTGCTTGATGCGCCAAATGAAATCTGTCTGTCTTGGAGGAGCGCTTGCAGCAGGAAGAAAAAAAAATGAGCGTGAGCCCGTGTGTTCAGCTCTCTGTCTCTCTGGTCTCCTCTCGCTGCCTCTACCGATCGGCCCGTCTGATTGTTCCAGTTCCATCAATATGTATTTTACACTGTTTTAAACCTCTGTTTTTGGGCGAAGTTATTTGTTCCCAAATTGCCAGTTCTTAAGCAGAACACTCGAGTAGCGCCGGCATTAGTTGAACATGTATCAATCAACAATTTAGATAAACCAATAATCGTTAAATTAAGGATTTAGCTGCTTTTCTTTGATTTACATCTTTATACATTGAATATCTTTGAGGTTTTAGCTGGTAACATGTGATGATCTTTATTCTCTGTTGTCTGATTAGAGACATATCGATTATCGTTACTCGATAATGAAAATAATCCACACTTGATGTTTTTACACACCGTTTGATTATGTAATGTAAGGATGAGTCTAACGCCTTGTTTGGAAGCCGGTGATGTTGGACGAGGAAGTGTTGCAGTGTGGTGTTGAGGATGCTGCAGGAGAACTTCCCCTTAAGTTGCCGCATGAATCAGTAGCCGTTTGGGTCAAACGCATTCCCAGATTCAAAGATTGGTGTTATTACCCGTTTGCTCCATATATCAGGGGAACGTCCAGCCCTCACAATGGAGATAAAATCGTTTTGATATTGGGTTGCTGAATTTGTGGCCTGTGTATTTTATCATTTCGCTTAAAGATACCATCGGGGCTGCTGGCTCTCCTTTCCATCTTTGTCTCTTCTCCATCTGAATTGTTTCTCATGCTCTCTCCTCACCCCTCTCCCTCTACATCCCTCTCTCTCTCTCTCTCCCTCTCCCCCCTTTTCCTCCCCCTTATCTTATCTTTCCCTGTTCCCCCCCTCCACCCCCGCATGTCTCCCCTTTCTCTCTCTCTCTCTCCACAGTTGTCCTAAGCTGGAGGACCTGCCGCCCGAGCAATGGAGCCACTCTACAGTAAGAAACGCCCTCAAGGAGTTACTCAAAGACATGAATCAGAGCTCTCTGGCTAAAGAATGTCCCTTATCACAGGTGCTGAAGCCCAGTCTGCTTATTTAAAAAAAAAAAAAAAAAAGATTAACGCCCAACCCCAACCCCCCTGCTACCATACACAAACAAACACCCCTATCTCCATCACCACTTTCTTTTATCCAGTACTTATCAAATGCCCTGAGTTTGATCGATTGGTAACGAGAATCGGCATAGAAAATCAGAATCAATGGCTTATTGTTATTTGTTTGCCGCATGATTTTTTTGTTGTTGTTTCTTTTACCGCCCCCGACACACACACACACACGCACACACACTGGTATGCATCGGCAGCCAAAAAGCAGAGGTGTTGTTGAACGTATGGTTATTGTTGGATAAACATTGGCCCAAACCCAGAACGATCTGGATTGTTTTTTGTTCTTTTTTTCCCCCATTTAGTTAATTCTCAACATTTCAGGCCGGACATGCGTCCACATGTCAGGTGTTGTATTCTGTGGTGTTTTTTTTGTGTGTGCTGGGACTTTGTATAGAAAGCACTAGCGCAGATATTGTATTAAGAGGCAGCGCAGTCAGTATATCATGGAGGCAGCTCTGGAGTGAATGGAATGAAATGGCAGTATATCTCTCACAAGGGCCACAATGTGTGTGTCTCGCAGTGCAGAGGAGACACGCTTGCTTCCGTGTGTATTCGCTGGAGTATGTTTGTGAAACGCGTATGAACGCATGGGACACGTATGCTAAAGCGTTATTTGTGTTTTGCCCGCCCGTGTGTGTGTTTAGATTGGAGCGTGTGCGTAGGTGCCTTCAGTACGAAGCCAACTCTCCTCCCAGGCCACCGTATGGTCACCTGGAGACCCTCATTTGCGCTGCGTGTGTGTGTGTACGTGTGTGTGTGTACATAAGTGTCTGTATGTGTGTGTGTGTGTGTGTGAGCGGCTGCTCTCAGCGTGTGTGTTTGTGTGTTTAGCCGGGCATGAGCAGTGCGCTGATGATGTAAAGAGTCCCTGGGTGGCGTTCAGGCGGAGCCCAGCCCGGTCTGGTAATCACCCTGTTTACGGTCCATATGTGAAGACGGCTCAGAGGAGAGCGCGCGCTCGCTCAGAGGATCTAACACTCGGGCACGCACGCTCGTCCTCACACTATTTTCAAATACGCACACTCCTCAAATAAAACCGAAAGGTTGTTTTAGCTTTCCAGTGAGGATGGAAGAAGGTCCTGGAAATGTTTTGAACGGAATCTGTTGCTTTCGGTCTCGTATGTTGTTTTAACAGCCAATTTGGTCCTCAATTCAGATCTAAATGGCATTAAATTTTCCTACATTTACTGTCACGCAGAGATGCTCGGTATAGCTTCAGTCACTGCAAACCGTCAACACGTCATTTTGTCTCCATTTGCAGTGTGATGTAGTCTCGCCCTTCACTTGTGCTCTCGTTGTTGTGCATCCCTGCTAGTAAACAGTTGAAACCGGAATCTAGAGAATGCGTAACTGTAAAGGTGAAACCAGATTTTAGCGCTGGCAGATTTATTTAGGCGTAGTATGAACACTCAGTGCTTACTGTAGAGTCCGGGTATCAATCATACGTCTTCATGAGCCAAATCTAAGCCTTGATTTTTTTATTTTGCCTGGATATTGTTTTATCGCTTTATTTTATTGCCATGTCTGTTTGTAAGGCAGCTAATTTAACCAAAATACTAATCTGGATTTTAACTTATTTCAAGAGAGAAACTGGCAGCTTTGCTGTGCGGTCACTCCACACCCTGATGATGTACATGTAGCTGCCTTGTTCAAACATGGCTGCCATGATGGTGTTTGACATCTGTTACTCTGTGGGGGTTTCATGTGGCCTGCTGCACCCCGTAGAGCGGTGGCTCGCTCCTCGTAAACCCGACTGGTTTAGTGGACCGGTTGTCACGATTGAGGGACGCCCCCGACACTGCCTCGACACACGGACCCCCTGCTCTGGGACCAGTGATGTCACCATGTCGTCTGATGAGGAGGCGACAAGCCAGGACGCGTTTGGCCCGCCCTCTGAGGCTTCTGACTTGACCAAAAAGAAAAAAGGGAAAAAAGTGAAATGAGTGGGAGGAGAAGAGGGGCGTTGCAGGCGGGAGCAGAAGGATTGGCACCTTTTAAGGATTAGTGTTTCCTTGATGTTCTTCTGCGTAATCCCAGACAGAAAAGGGAGGTCAACAGATGAGGGAATCGCGGCGAGTGAGTGAAAGAGAATTAGCGAGAATGAGAGAGGGGGGGGGGAGCGGGGGGGGGGGGTTATTTTGTGAAATGCTGCTTTTGTACGGGGTCTTGTCGAACACATTTAGTTTGACTTCTTTTGTAGCGGGGGCGAGTCACGCTTTTGTGTGTTTGGGCTACAAATGGCACGAAGAAACTCTTTGAGAAAAATGTACTCGCTCGCGCTCGTTGTCGTTCCGTCAGAGGAACCGGCTCTGAGCGAGCTTCAAGACTCACACGGGGATGCATCGCCCGATTTAAACTTCTCCTGATTCTGCCTCCTATCAGCCAGACTTATTCTCTCAGAGGTTGCTACCAAGCTTAGCAACCCCCCCTTGCCCGTGTTCGCAGAAACTATGGCAACAAACGAGATTCCCCCCCTTCTTACCACCACCTCACCCCACTCTTTCCCATTGCCACCACCTCTTCTTGCTCACCCCCTGCTCGCTCTCACTGGGCGGCCCCTGATGCACCAGCTGCTGCGTTGCATAGCAGCAAATAGTCATCAAAATGCCATCTTAGCGGGCCTTTACCACCTCGGCAGCCATAGGGGCAACCTGGTTGCCAGTGTATGTGTGTGCATGTGTGCGTGTGTGTATATATACGTGTGTGTACGTGTTTTAGATCGCAGGGAGAGAGGGGGGGGGGGTCATCCCAGTTGAGGTGAATATGTGCCATAATTGAGCTGTGTGAGATGTTGGCGAGAGACGAGGCGCAGTGTTGCAAATGGGATGTGCGTTTTCCCCAGCTGACTCAAGACATCAGGCTAAGTTGGAATGTGTGTGTGTGTGTGTGTGTGTGTGTGTGTGTGTGTGTGTGTGTGTGTATTTAATTGTGTAGGTGCACGTGTGTTACTCTGCATGTGTGCCTTTGTGTAACTGCGGCGTGTGTGTTTGTCTGCAGGGGTTGTACGTTGTGTGTTTGCCATTGCCAGTGTGTGCACCACACTCTAACGCTGGCAGCTGGGTGCCTATAGTACCTGCCTGCTGCACCGCTGTTCTCTTCCACACACACGTACACGCACACACACACACACTCACACACGCACACACTCTCCCTCTTCCTGTCTCCCATGATGGGGAGTGGAGTAGATGTTGGGGACCGATAGTAGCCCTGTGCCACTTCCTGGTCTTGCTGATAAGCTCTCTGTGCTGCAGATGGCTATCACTTAAAGGGTCCACACACATGCTCATGGACACACACGCACACACACCCTCACCGTCACTCTCATGCACACACACGCCCACCCACACACACAGCCATGCTACCTGTTGACAAGCCCCAGCACAGCCCTCCTGCTGGCACCGCAGTAGCAGCAGAGGCTCTGGTTATCTGCTTGATTTCACTTAGTGCGTATGCATGTGTGTGTGACAGAGCAGTGGGGGGAGAGAGAGAGAGAGAGAGAGAGAGAGAGAGAGAGAGAGAGAATAGGTGTGTGTGTATTGTTTCGTTCACACACACACGCCGGGCCCCCTGTGAGAGGTAGAGTGATGTATTGAGGGAGAGGGCTGATTAATGAGGAGCGTTTATTAGAACATCTGTGTCAAAGATGGCGGAGAAAGAGGGAGCGAGAGGGATAGAGAGAAAGATGGGAAGAGAGAGAGAGAGAGAGGCACACCGTGTTCTGCAGGTCTCTCGTTTTGTTGCCTGGAGCTGCCTTAGCCCAGATATACTGTAAATAAAACATGGCAGGCTGGAGGAGAGGAGTTCATTATCCCACCGACTTAAAGGAGAACTCTTCTTACTTTAAATAAATGTGGGAGTTGGCTAACAGAACCAGGTTAAACTGGGAGATTTGGTTCGCTGCTTCACCAATTTTCTTTACTTTTCCCAAGCCCAGTAAATCATGAAGAAAACCATTCATTCTTATTTACACTGACGTATGCTGATCATAATGAATGAACAGGAATTATCACTTTTAAGACCATGGAAGGTTGCAGTTGTTATTTTCTGATGCCAATAATGAATCCAAAAAGAAAGGAGCTGCTTCATGAATAAATGTATGACCCATTAAATAAGGGCAATTCTGACTTCCTCACCCTAACCTGAACTCCATCAGCGCTTCTCGTTGAATGAAGTCTTTTCAGTAGATCTTTTAAAGGCTGCTTTGTTATACCGTGCAAGTCCAAATGCAGACCTCTTCACCCTCCTGTTTTTTCTTGTCATCATGACGGCATAATGCACCACAGCGTGGTTTGCCCAAATTCCCACCCAACTGCTTGAATAGGCGTAACGAAGTGCAACCACTGGCGCTCTACCCGACTACACACCAAGTATGGTGGGAGTCACGTCCACGATGGTTAGTGGAGTCTTTTGTGACTTCTGCTGTAAAAGAACAGCAACACATATAACTCTTCCTCAACTGCCTTTATTTACTCTTTGTTGCATTTTACTGCTATTGCAGCCGAGACAGTCGATGTCTTTGAGAGCTCTTGCTTGTGTAAACTCCTGTGTCGTGTTATTGGCCACGGACGTCCGTCCTGTAGCTGTTTGTAGGGCGAGGTATCACATGAAGCTGGTTAAAACGGCCCTTGAAGCTGATTAGCTTTCGCTTTAGCTCAACCTCAAGCAGATTCCTCTTCCTGCTACAGTTTGACAAAGGAAGCATGTCCATCACGGTCCTTCTGAAAGCATCTTGTGACACATTTTAATGTTTTGTGGTGTGTTCTGGTCGGACGTACGTTAACTCAAGGAGAGCTTTCATCTCGGATTTCAGCTGAGCGGCCGATCAGCCTCATATTTAGGATTTTTCTTTTTGCCAATAGCATTTTGACGCCGTGGAAGTTCTTCAGCGCGAGTGTAGAAGACACGAACAACCTCAAAAACTTAATCAGACACTTATCTTATTGTAATTCATTGCCGTGCATGAGGCTCTTCAGCCCAATAGCACGGAGCTAACAGCTAACGTTACCGGAGGTTGCATTGGGTTGTATTATTATGAGTTAAAGCTCTATTCAGTGAAAATGAGATAAATTTAAATTTTAGCGCTATCGAGATGTAAGAAGATCTTATCAAATTGTGTTTTTGGCAAAAACCTTGAATATATACGGTTAATTGAAGGAGAGGTTTTCACAGCAATATAGAGTTAGAGAGGAAATGACGTTAGCTCTAAGCAGCGTATTATAGTTTATAAGTTATATTATATGTTATATTTTTAATCCGAGCATAAAATTACAATCTTTTATTTCCTAATCATTTGATTATTTTTTGGGATGGTGGTGAAAAAAGTTAGTGTGGAGACTTGCCGTTAATCATAGTTCTTAGAAAGAAAATCAGAAACGGCAAAAATCCAAAGCGGGTGGGTCTGACTTTTAAAAAAATCCAAAAACCCAAATCGGCCAAGAACAGAACTGCAGTGGATTTCTCTGTAGTTTCCTGGCGTAACGCAGCTTTAACAGAGGTCGGGAGTTCAGAGTTCGGTCGACCTCTCTCAGGGCACAGCTGCCATCCTTCACCCTCCTTTTGTGCAGGAAGGCTGCAGAACCAGAATCATCCCGTTCATTGTGCTCGTACCTCCACGCTGCTCCGCCAGAAGGTTCCCCTCCGCCATCCTCCAAGCGCATATATTATAGAAAATGATAAAGATGGCATACCTGTAATTTGAAAACAGATGGTTTAGTTCTTTTGAATATTTATAACAATCAAAAAACATTTTCTCCCGCACCAACCTCGCTATTCGCCCGGAGGCCGGCAAGGTGTTAAAACATTCATTTTAATGAAAGTGGAAGGGAAAGGAAAATATCGCCTCTTTGTTGTTGTTTTTCCGAGGCGGTGGAAGGAAACATAGAGAGGGCAGAGAATCCACTGAGAACGCGCGGCGCGGCCCTCGATCCGCTTGTAGTCGTTGTCTTTAACAGATTGTGTAAATAAAGAGCTGGAAAATGAAAGAGGTTTATCTGTTTACATCGCCCGACTCCCCAGATGCTGATATTCAATAAGCCGCTCTCTTCTCTCCTTTTGAAGGTAAATATATTTCCCGCCGTCTGCTCTTGATGTCAACAGACTCGGAACTCAGTTGACCTCATAATTTAGCCGCTCTGACATAACCAAAAGAAATGTTCCGACAAACTCAACGGCATTTGATAAAGAAGAACAGATAAAACCTTGCTTGATTTAATTTGTTTCACCTTTTAGAGGATGAGATCCAAAAATGACTGCATGTCTGCTACTTTTCAGTTGCTTTTTTTCTGTTTTTTTTAGTGCTGGGTTTTTTACCGTGTCCCTATCTTTTATTTGTTTTGACAAGCTACAGTGTTACTGCATGTTTCACAAGCTTTAATATTATGTCTGCATTTTCCACAATGAGAATCTAAAGTCTCTCTCTCTCTCGTTCTCTCTCCCTCTCAATCAATCTCTCTCTTTCAGAGTATGATTTCCTCCATTGTGAACAGCACTTACTATGCAAATGTGTCGGCGGCGAAGTGTCAGGAATTTGGGCGCTGGTATAAACATTTCAAGAAGACAAAAGATATGATGGGTAAGCAAAACGGAGGGGCGCAAAGTATGGCGCTCACACTTTTGTCTCTTTGCACACACACACACACACACACACACAATCACACACCAGTCGTCATTACAATATGCTCCCTAACCAACCGTCTCTTTGTCTTCCTGCTGTTGCATGAAGCAGAAATACATTTTTATCTTGTTATCTAATAACTCAAGATTACGCCACAGTTTTTGCAGCCGAACGCAGCGTTATCTCTGATTTATCCATTTATTGCTTTAACTAACAGCAACGCGAGAGCCAAATTGAGGCCTCTGACTGTTTCATTTTTTGTTTGCCTCACTATTCCTTTTACAAAAGGCAGCGATGACTTCAGCCGGCCACTGCCTAGTCTGAAATTCAATTAGATTTTCTTATCAACCCTCCGACGACGCATGCTTTACATTATCGCAAAAAAAAAATCCCCTTTGACCCGCCAGGAAATGAGGTTATGTGATACTAGTAGCACCCCAGCTACAGATAGAATGCCGCTTTATTTTTATGTCTTTTGATTAAGCAGAACACCGCTCGGTTTGCGAGGCTCACAAGGGAGCGTAATGTTGTGATATTAGCTTTAACAATCTGTTGAACAATCTTCTTTTTTTTCTTTGCCAGTGCAACACTGCTCGCCAGGATGACAGATGAGATATTGTATCAAAATGTTTTCACAGCCTCCATGCAAATAGCGTGTTGTGATCATATCTTATCTGATGTTTTTTTTTTTTTGCTTCTGTTAAAGTGGCAGCATATGCCGAGAAACATTATTTACTCCAGACCTGCTGTACTTTCTCGCATACTCCTACACGTTCCTGTCACGATTGTTCTCGATGTGGTTTTAAACTCATGAAAAAAAAATGGGGCCGTCTCAGCTGCTGGTTCGGCCTCTGTGACGCTGGTGTTTTAAATGTCATATTTCTGCTGAGCTGGAGTGGGAGAGATGTACAGTAGGAAGCTTTTACCCTGTGTTTCTATCCTCACAACTCTGTGTGTGTGTGTGTGTGTGTGTGTGTGTGTGTGTGTGTGTGTGTGTGTGCGTGTGCGTGTGCGCGTGTGCGTGTGCCCTACCATCCGGCTGTGCAGGCATGCGCCAACCGTCCCAGCTGGAGGGCTACCTGGGGACGTGTGTCCTCCGTGAGAGCCCGCGTGCCAATGCACTAGGTATGTTGCAACATGGACACACACACACACACACTCTTGGTTATTTCACTTTGAAGGGCCTTACACTGACATGAATTAATTCCTTGGAGAGTTACCAAAACCCCAGCCGCCACACGGTAGTGGTTCCTGTCGCCATAGTGTGAACGCATTTTGATAGATTTCAGACAAAACACACACACACACACACACAGTAATTTAACAAACTTGTGAGGAGCTACATTCCTTCCTTAATACCTAATCTGACTGACTTACTTGTCTTCTTGCCTAAACTCAATCTCAATTAAAGTCTAAATCCGAAAAACCAAATAGCACTTAAAAGTCGCATCGAAATGAAAAATCACTTATTTGCATTGTTTGCTCACACTCAGTTTGGAAATTTTGGAAACAATCCTACCTTCACTTTTTCAACCAACATCATGGTCACACCCGTCACATAATGTCTCTTTTCATCTAGAACGCATTTAAGTGCTCATTCCTTTTGGCTTTAAAGAAGCAGAAACTGGTTTTTTTTCGTGTCGCTCCCTCCGGGGACATCGAGTCCTGATGAGAACAAATCCACCGACGTATACGCAACACGGAAGCAGCGCTAACATCTCAAGATGTATTCACACAAACTCACACAAAAACCTTGGCACACGAGCCTCAGGTGCCCCCCCTCCCCCCCGACCTCAATATTCATGACGGGCTGCTGTCTGCTGTGCACGGCCACGAATGGCAGGAAGAGAAAGAGCTGGTGAAATGCCAAGTTTGAGGGGCTGAGAGAGAGAGAGTGGCACGGTCATCCCTTTGTGCCTTGGCAAGTGGTGTCAAATGTGACTCTGCATTTACTTCACCGTGCTGCGGGTTTTTTTTTTGTAAGCGAGCGTTTTTTGCGCCCAAAGTCGAGGGGAATAAGTACCTGGTCGCAGGTACTGGCACGCCACCCTGCTGCTCTGCCAGCTGAAGTGGTGTTAGCCGGGCCGCCGGCGAATGCGGTGTCGCTTCTCTTGAGGCGGCAACGCCGGTGCAGAGAAGCCAACGCAAGAGACAGAGAGAGAGAGAGAAAGAGAGTTGGGTCACTCTGTATGTCTCCCTCTCTCTCTCCCTCCCTCTCTCTCTCTCTCTCTCGCTCTCTCACCCCCCACCCCCCTCCCTTCAGCCCACATCCCATTCCCATTGTGTGTTTAATCCGGGGCTCTTTTGTGGCAGGATTCCACACGAGGACTCCCGCTTCTGTGGCAGCCTTTTTCTCCCAGGGCCTGCCATGCTCTTCTGTCACCCCCTTCTCTTTTCAATTTGCATGGAAATGCCTCTCCGTGTGCCTGTGTGCTTGTGTGTTTGTGAGCATGCCCCCCAGCAGTCCGTGCGAGCAAGCATATGCGCACAGACACACACACACACACACACATTCGCATATGAGTGAATAGAAACGCCATACCATCAGAGCCAGGGAATGCCAGGGATTATGGGAAGAGATGTGATTATTACCAAGATTTTTTTTTTTGTTTGTTTGTTTTTTTTCCCCCACCAACATCATTTGTTTTCGACAAACGCTCAATAGACCCGTCTTGGCCGGGTGTTTTGTGCTTGCTGACAGTTAAGAAACAGGCAGCTCAAAACGCACAATTATTGTGGGTATTTTTGGAAAACATCCATGCACTTAATCTTTCATCTGCTGAAAAATTCAGCTTGTTGAAGACCCCCCCCCCCGCCTCCTCTTCCCCACAACAGCAATTTACGCTTTTCACAATCTCATGCGAAGCTTTGCTGTGGGATGTGAAGGCCACAGCACACTTCTGAGGTGTTAATGTTGCCATCCGTATGAATTCTTAAACGCTGCCCCCTCACTCACTCAGCCAGTCAGCGCAGCGCGCACGCAGAAAGCCTCAGCATATGCGAAATTCCTTAAAGAGAGGCGGAAACCTGAAAACATTTCAGCCGTTCACTTCGCTGTGGGTAGTACTTTGAATGTTAAATCATTGTTTTCATCCTCTAAGCACATCATTTAAACCTGTCTTAAAACATTCCCTGGCAGCCATTATGGACTTAAAGATACCCAAAGCAAGAGATGCCACAAAAATCTCCAAAAGGCCATTAAATGACGGCACAGAGATTTCTTTTCTTCGTTTTGTCTTACAGACAGTTCAAGTCCTGTCCTTTTCAGTTCACTCAGACACTGTACTGTACGCTGTATCCTCCCATGTGCTTCCTTACTCACTGCATCCTGTATCTACACTTACACACACTCCACTGTCTCTCCAAGACTATTTATTTTCTTCACATGATGAGACCACATATGATCTGAACTTAATTTCGAAGGCATGGCTTGTGGAAGACGAGGTCAAAACACAACGAGGCTCTTTTATCTGCGATCTTTTGATCAGCTGTGTCACAACCGTTCGGGGAGGAAGAGGCCTGAGAAGAGCTCTGGTTAGGAATAACACACCAAACCTCTGTATATTTATGTTAGTAGTTTGGGTTTCTATTCATGAATATGTGCTGACTGCCAAAATGTTTTCCTTTCCGTTTGTTATGAAAGTAAATGTTTGCTGACAGGCTAAGATTGACTTGAGGTAACAGTTTCATCTGATGCAGAGCAGATCTGGTTCTCTGATTAGAGATCATGGCTTTGGTGACATTAAGCCGATGCTTTCTGAGATTAAGGTTTAACCTTTTTGTAGCCACCGGCACTTTCTCCAGTGATGTTTTGTCTTTTATGGTGTTTGAGGAAGACTTTGAAACTGATCCTTTTCTTTCCCCCTATCCCTGTCTCTGCCCTCCACTGTCGCCCTCTCTTCGCTCGTTCTTCTCCTCCTGCAGAGATGGACGGCCTGTCCGACCTCTCTCCACCCGGCTCTAATCACAGCCACAACCACAACCACCTGGGCTTCTCCCAGCAGCAGCAGCCCATCCCCGGCAGCACGGCCGAGCAGACTCCCTCCTCGCCGGTGCCCCCGCTGCCTCACGCCCCACCGCAACACGGCGGTCAGACTGGCGGCCGACAGCCCCAGATGCCCGGCATGCACCACCCGGGCCTGGTGTCCACGCCCATCAGCCCCCAGCTGGTCAACCAGCAGCTCGTGATGGCGCAGATCCTCAACCAGCAGTACGCGGTGAACCGGCTACTGGCGCAGCAGTCCCTGTCGCAGCAGTACCTCAACCACCCGCCGGTCAACCGCAACTCTCACAACAAGCCCATGGAGCCACAGGTGTCCTCAAACACCGAGGTGTCCGTCGAGATTTACCAGTGGGTGAGGGACGAGCTGAAGCGGGCCGGCATCTCACAGGCCGTCTTCGCCCGTGTGGCCTTCAACAGAACCCAGGTGAGGAGCGCGATACAGTTCACAGTGACCTCTTTAACTCTTAAACAACGTCCAAGCATTGTCAGCACTAAAGTTGTTGGCAGTAGTAAAAGTTGCTAATTCAGTCCGAAGCCTCGTTTCTTTTTCTGCTATTATAATAATAATTGTAATAATTTGGTCAGTGGAACGGATGTTTGTCATGGACTTTAATATCTGTCAAATTTATATCAAATTGGCTAAAGGTGCCATGTGAAACATGATCAACGTTGATAAATGCACATTTAAGGTTGATTGAAGATTTGTTTTTTCTATAATCTTCTTTTTAATTGATTTTTATTTAATTTCATGCCCCAGTCTGTCAGTTTGGAGTACGTCAGTACCTTTAAAAACACTAAAATGACAGGGTGTCAACTTTTGAAATCAAACACTTGAAGTGCGTCCCTCACTGTCCAACACCAACAACCTGTTTGATGAGGAAATACGTCACAACAAGGAAGTTACAAAACTACTTCATTTATTATTAGTATTTTTTCTACTAAGAAAGCCCTGGTGTTTGAATCTTTTAATGTCCACGGTTATAATCTCATTCATAATTCTCAGCCCAGTAATCCAGCACCTTTACTGACAGCTGGCAGCTTGCCATGATGCGAAAGACCCAGGCACGGTCATGGCGTGCGTTCTCTCCCTGCCAAAATATGTGGTTTCACTTCATAGTCAGAGGCCTTACACACACACACACACACACACACACACAGAAGGCAGCGATTATGTCTTAAGACGTACCGTCTGCACTAGATTGGGGGTGGAGGGAGGTGAACATCACAACTCCATTTGCTTTGAAGTCGCTGTGTATGAAAAATAAAGGAACATAAACTGATAAGAATCTATCAGAATTAGAACGTACAGCAACCCCAAAAACAAATATCTGTGTGTGTGTGTGTGTGTGTGTGTGTGTGTGTGTGTGTGTGTGTCAGACAGTTTTGATGCGAGCTCCCACACAAACAGAGTCTTATCTGTGGCTGATATGAGGAATTAGCCCAATGTGCCATTGGAGAGTTTGCCTTTGGAGGCTTGTTTATTAGGCTTGTGTTTTTTTCCACGAGTCTGCGTTAATAAAAGGAGGTGGGGGGGGGGGGTTGAGTGGTGACATGAAGGGAGCTGCTGTCATGCAGGAAGTGGATCAGAGGAGACGGAAGTGGAGGAACTGAGAGTTTTTATTTTAACAAATTAAGGAAACTAATTGACCAAAAAGAGAGACGGAGAAGGGTCGATGGCGAAGAATAATAAGCATGCAGACGCTGAAGATTGCAGACACACACACACGGATCCAACATATCTTGTGTAAATAAAGTCGCCATCGCCATAAAAAACGTCACTCTTAGTCAGATTCCGTGTGAGTATCTGTTCATACCTGTCTGGATACCACAGACCTAAACGTGACACATTTTAATAGTCAGAATAACGACACCAAGCACATGTTCGCAGCTCTGCTCGTTCCCCAAAAGAATTCGCAAGCTCTTAAAAAAAATAGAAATAAAAGCGTGAGCATGTTTTCCCCATCACCTTGTTTTATTACCAAATCACACCTATTGATGGAGAGAGAAGCGGAGCGATGGTTTGCTCAGTGTGTGGCCAAGAGCTGATGAAAAGGCCCAATCACACGTCTCTGATAATGGAGTCATCGGCGTCTCGTAATGATGGAATTGAGCGCTATTGAAAAGTAAACGCTTAAAAAGGATACGCTGATTGCCCGCCGCACAAGACTTTCACATTTCAGGCGAGTAGCTGCGGCTCTTATCTGAAGCAGCACGCGGCTCCGAGAATGTGTCCAAGATCTGCAAAATCACAGGCAGCAAAGGGCTAAAGGCCACAAAGAAAAGTTACAATGGTAGTTCTGTCATCCAAGAATGAACGATCGATGAAGTGCTACGAACCAACAGAACAGAATTACGTATTTTTCTGCTTCTAGACAAAAGCTGTAGAGAGTCACGAGGATATGCGGGAAGTTTACTACAACAATAATGGAAGGCAGAGAGAAACCGTAGAGAAGGTATGAGGGAAGTGCTGAAATCAGGAGACTAAAGAAGTCTTAGTCTTAGTTTACAGTTAAAGTGGGTATCGGAGTGTCATCTCCATTGTCATTTAAGTCTCCATCTACACTCACGGCTCTCTTTTAAGAATCCTCTGATGTGATTATTCTCCTTGCTTCACCCCCTCCATCCTACTGTTTTCCTCTCTGGAAGCTGCTATCTTTCTTCTCCTGTCACTCTCTCTTCGGCTCCCCTCCTCCTCTCTCCTCTCTCCTCCCTCCCTCCCCACCACCACGCAGGGCTTGCTGTCCGAGATTCTCCGCAAGGAGGAGGACCCCAAAACAGCTTCCCAGTCGCTGCTGGTCAACCTGCGCGCCATGCAGAACTTCCTGCAGCTGCCGGAGGTTGAGCGCGACCGCATCTACCAGGACGAGAGGGAGCGCAGCCTGACGGCGGCCTCGGCGATGGGCGCCCCCCCGCTCATCAGCACGCCGCCCATCCGACCTGTACAGGTAACAGAGGTTTCATTCTTCCCTCTGCATGTTTCTCTGTGGTACCCCTGCGTTTATTATCACTCAGAAGGACATAATTAGGAGACTGGAGTTTCATTTCTTTGAGGCAGAACTAATTAGGAATCGGCTGAAACCGTAACGTAAAAAGATGTTTGTTCACAGTAGTATTTTAATTTTAAGTCACGGGGTGAAGGCAGATTTATACTTAATATCTGGATCTTATAGGATTTGATTGACTGATTTGAGTGTTATGCATCTATTATGCACTTGAAGTAATCTTTCTAAAAGAGAACAATCATGGAGAGAAGAACTAGAACATTTTTTTTAAATACAAATTTGTGTGACGTTACTGAAAAGGAAACGCTTTAGCATTTGTTCTCTTAATATCAACAAACGCAACCACTGGTGGAAACATGGGCAGATCACAAAGACGACCGATCACAGTTGTCTCCGTGTAGCCCAGGTGTGTCGTTATGTATCTGAAGGAAGTACATCAGCTGTGGTGGGACTTTCCGTAGCCACGGAGGGAAGCCAAGTCCAAGTCTGGGGAACAAAGAATACTCGAAAGTACAAACTTGTTACCAAACTGGCGCGTCGCATACCATTCGGGTTTGCCAGCTCGCTAACTTGCAGAATGCAAAAAATGTTGTTGCTGGCTCTCTGATTCAAAGAGACCAAGACTTTCTGCGCCAAGTCAGGAGGCTGAAAAATAAAATGCAAATCTCTACGTTGGCGATGGAGCAAAGACTGCGTTTGTTCAATATATATTTAAAATAAACGTATGTGTGACTAGATCTAGTCCTGTGAACAGTTTCATGACATTGTTAGCAGTGTGTGAGTGTGTTTACATGTGGTCAAGCTTAGAGGACAAGTATGCAGGGGTGTTTTTAAGGAGCTGGATATTTCCTGTCTTGGTGTCCTGGACTTAACCCAGACACACGTAACAAACCTGCCAGGTTTCAGAGTCGCTACGATAGGTTAAGCAATAGGTGACTCATTCTATTAGAGTGTAAAACGTATGTACGCTCTGTTTACAGCAAGCATGGACACAAGCACCACCCCGGCACATTGTTTTCTGCCACGCCTCACATTCCCCTCCATTGCATCAGGCTGCTACCTGTCTGGAGAAGACGTGTCGTAAATATCAGCCCATTCGTTCCGTCAACGTGCGCACCAGAGAACATACTTTACATTCTCCCCGCATGTAAATGAGTCCCACATCGTCCCCGCCCCTCACCACACAGGTGAGACCGGTGCACAAATGATGGATCATTTTTTGTGCTAATTCTGACCTTTTACCGTGCATTAGGCGGCATTAGCTGCCCTCCCTTTGTGAAAATAGAGCTTGCTCAGTGGCGACAGGCTCCGGGAAAGATCAAACGTCGTTTAGTCAGTCCGCCGTTTTAAAATCACCGCGTACCGGAGCACAACTTTCTACCCTCGCCGTAAATCCGTGTCCCTCATTTGAAAGGTATGTGGCAACTTTCTACCACTTAAGCCTATTTGAAGTGCGCTCAGCTGCGTCTGAAAGTGACAGGGGCCGACAAAGGCCGTCTCTGTTCTGTACCCGGTGAAGACTTGGCTTTTTATTTTTTGCCGAGGAGGGAAGAAAGACAGAAGCACAGGCCCACACATCTCCGAAATGGAAACCTCCCCCGTGAAACTGCTCAGCATGATGCCAGTCGCTGTCTTTTGCAAAACTGCAAAGAAAGAGTGGCATTCTGAAGCAGCGGTGCTGAACTTAAACGGGGCTTCTTCGCAGTTCACAGCTCATCTTTACAATCAGAGGCTGTGTCAGTGCAGGACAGACATTCAGAGTGAGTGGGCCTTTAGACAAGAATGTTCTGTTTGGCGTAATAACCCACCGTCAGAGCTACAGACGGTAACTTTGTTAAGAATAACTTCTCATCATATTTGCTGTAACTGACATTATATCCTGACGGTTGACTCATTTTAGAGCTCCTAATGGCAGCTGCCAATCAGAGCTCTCGAAGCTCAAACTCCAATCAGACTATCACCCAGTTACTAGTTACTGTAACAGTAACTCAAATATGCCCCTGGAAAGCTTTGAGGTGAGAAATAGGCAATGTAGTCACATAATCCTGATTCTTATTTGATCAGTTTGAGAGGAGTGTGCGCTTGTGATTGACAGCTGCGTTACAGACTCCTCGGCTCTGATTGGTTGTCTTCCTTCGGGCGCAGCAGAATCTTACAAATGCCATTGGAAGAACTAATCAGAGGAACCAGATTTTTCCACAGATTATCTGTCTCATGAGCTGCTGTTAGGTTATAGTTTCAGCAAATATGCCGAAAAATTATTTTGATTTAAGTTTCCGACTGTAGCTTTAATGTCTTTAATAACATCTCAGATTCAGAAATGGGCATTTGGACTCTATGAGCTTTTAGATTTTCATTAATCACATCAGGTGAATTACCACAGAAAAGGAGCCTTGTAGCATATCTGGGACCAGCTTACAGAGCTGTAGACATCCATAGCAACACAGAAAGAGACCTGCAGACAACAAACACAGAGACTACTACACGGCGTACAAACTATTTTAAACAAGACTCAAAACTCAAGTTTGTGGGGTTTTTTTATACTCCTGTTGGCACATCAATAGAATATCTTGAGGGCCCTAATATACTTCACCTGTATGACTTAAACCCATCAACATTTATCATGCAGGCCCGTTCCTACACAAGGCAATTCTCACAAACACACGCGCTCGCACAACTCGTACACCTGGCCATCTGCCAGCCTCTCCTATGGAGCAATGCGGTGTGAATTTAAGCACATAAATCAGCCAGGGTGGCAATTGAGCCCGAGACAGAGGAGGGATTTTATTGGCCTCATAAAAACAGATGCAGAGGTATGTTTCTGTCACGTGTGCTGATGGGTCGGCACAACTCCCCTAAAGCCAGTTAGCGCATGTCCCGGCCTTAACAATTAGCTTGACATGGTAACCCACCGCTCAGACTGACGAGCCCGCGTCGAGCCACGTCGTAAAGAAGACGAGATGAAAGGCCCAGAAACGCTCCGGCATTCCAGTTCCACCACAAATTTTAGGATTATGTGATTGTCTTTGACACTTAAAGGAGCCCGTATTAGGCGTCTAGACAAATACTTGAATATATAACTTTTTTTGATCACAGACTGTGTGTCGTGAGTTAGTAGCTGTTGGTGTTATTATGATTTATTTGAATGCTATGCGCTCGTACTCGTACCCAACCCTGCCGCCGTCTCCTTTCAAAAGGGCTCGTATGGAATGATTCACATACTAATGGTTGGTGGGTAATGCTTTTATTAGGATACTTGTTAACTTGTCAAAGGATTTTTGTCAAGATGCAACAAGCCGCTGAATGAAGATGATTTGATTTCACTTGACTTGCATTTACTTTTTAATCACCAGCTTGACATGAGAATAATAACATTCCTCACAACATATCTAAGTGTTTTTGAGCAAAGGAAGGCTGGAGCCGAGCGTGGGTGTAATCTACACTCCTGTGTGTGTGTGTGTGTGTGTGTGTGTGTGTGTGTGTGAGAGAGATGGGTGCATGCATGAGCGTGTGTGTGTGTGTGTGTGTGTGTGTCTGCTTGTATTTAGCCAGATTACCTTTCTTTTTTTCCCCGTGTGAGCCTGAGCAAATATCGGTTGTGTTGTGTTCCCGACACAGCAGCCCCGGAGGGAAGACTGTAACAGCGTGAGGCCCGAGGACTGGAATCCCAGAATCCCCGTGGGCCTTTCCCCTGTGAGCAGATAACACCACCCACCTCACCTCTCCACCTCCACCAATCTGAATGCACACATTGTGATAGACAATACACACACTTGAGACTTATTATCTCCCAACATGCAATTGTTATTATCTTGAAAGGCTAATATTTGCATTTTTATCAGTTTTTGTTTGTAAGGAATGTCTAATACCACCCTATTTTACACTATTACTAAGATTTTAATTACATTTAATGTTGATAATTAGGTCAAAAACAGATTTCTTTGGGGTTTTTTATCCTAATTTGGTATCAAAACCTGTGGAAAAATATAGACAAATCTCAGTTACAGATGCACCGTATTTAGCATCCTAACTGTTCACATGACTCTGATAATATTAAAAGAAAACATCTTCAGGTAGAGTACAGTGATCCATTCCATTCACACAACTAAAATCTGTCAAATACAAAGAAGAATCCAATATCTGACAAAGTATTAGCAATGAAACGTGTAGGATTTTCTGTAATTCTTCTCTCTCTCTCCACTCTTTTCACCAGGTGAAACCGTCGCCTCTGCCCAGCGAGTGGAACGGCAAAACCGAGAGCTGCATCCTCAACATCAACTCCACCATCTACGACGAGATCCAGCAGGAGATGAAGAGGGCCAAAGTCTCCCAGGCCCTGTTCGCCAAGGTGGCCGCCTCCAAGAGCCAGGTACGGACACTACAACACCCTAAGGGAGGGAAGACGCTTGCTTTGGTGTTCTCTGTCATTGTCTTCCTCCAGAAAACTTGCTCAAGCTACACTCACAAAATACGAAGAGCGGTATTTCTTCTTTCATCAATGAAACATGGTCTTTGTTCAATATCCAAAATCCAGCCCACTCACCCACATACCTGCCTTTTGAGGAATAATGTGTGAATGCTGTTAATCATAACTTCTTTCATCTTACTTTGTAAAGTGGCTCTTACAGCAGTATTGATGCGTCATAAAGCCAAAAAATGAAATTCTCAACCTGCATACATAAATTGCATAGAATGTCCACACACACACACACTCACACACACACACACACACACAGAGGCTGATGGATGTCTTGCAAAAATTGAAAAGAATAAAGAACTTTCAGCGTTGAAATTGATACTAGATGCATATAACATCATAATATTCGTACAGTTCGAGGCAAAGAAGTAGAAATCCATCCAACCCGGAGAGAGACTTGCCCCAGTGCATCGCTGCTGTGATTCACCGACATAATGACACATGTCCTCTCTATTGTGGGTTTGGAGTTTAGCAGTCGACAGTGTTTCAACACCAAACAAACCTGTTTATATGAGCTCCGTTCAGTAAGACGATGGGGCCCCTGTTATCTTCTCCCAGAGAGCAAAGCGCTCACACAATGCAAGCCTGTGTGTGTTGGAAACAGGGAGGGGAAAAACACACACACACCACCAATTTAACTGAGTATTAAAAGCGATTTTAAAATGTAGCACTAAGGAGTTATTATTAAAGGTTTTCACGTGTCTGACAGAGGAGTCGGGAAGATTTCCACAATTGTGCTTGATGAAGACGATGAGGGTGGGGGGGGGGGGAATAGATCACCAAGGGCGGAATAATCTAGAAATATCTGCAAAGGCTTTATTTTTTTCTTGCTGATTAGGATGATTATACCCTCAGATAGCTTTGTTTTACCAAATTGCAGTTTGATGCACAAACCACTGTTTTTGTTAAGGAGTTCAAAGACTCCTTGGAAGGATTGGAGAAAGAGAAAAGGGGGGAGAGGGAGGAGGCATTGACTCGCACACGTCTCCCTCTTCTCAAATGAAGGTTTGTCTGGGAACAGGTTTCCACCGTGCCTTCTCCACCTCACTCCCATCTTTCTGTCTTGCCCCCTCTACCTCTCTCGTCGCCTCCCCCTCCTCCCGATTTCTGCCTCTCTTTCACGTTCCATTCATGGCAGGCGGGTGTGAATGTGAATTGAGCAGCAGATAAGAAGTGTGCTAATTATGCCTGTGAAAGGGGGCCTGGGAGAGCACTTATCTCTGGCTCCATCTCGTAATGGGCGCTCCCCGGGCAGCTGGTCTCCCCCCTTACTACCCAGCCGGCATCGCCACATCTACCGGCAGCGCCAGGCCAGGCCGGGCCTGCTCCTCCCCATCAGGACCCCTAAACCCTGAAAAATCAGTGACCAGCACCAGTTTTCACTCGCAGCTTCCTAGAAAATCTTCTAAAATCCCAAATGCTTCAAGATTGTAGTTTTATGTTTATGTTTAGCTGTGGGCAGATAATTCTGTCGTGATTTTACTTTCCAGAATTGGCGTCAGACCATCTATATGGGCGCAAATGTCTTCTTCTTCGACGTATCTTTTGTCCCTTCCCCTCATACGAGCCATTGTTATAATATGTTGATCGCAGTGGAGCTGCAACAATTACTAGTGAATTAATCGACCGGTTGATCGACAGAAAATGAACCAGGAACTATTTCGCTGATCATAATTTGAGTCACTTGTCAAGCAAAAGTTCTGGTTTGTTTGCTGGTTCCAGCTTCTTAAATGTTGGTATTTGTAGCTTTTATCATTGTTTCTCAGTTGCTCTTTTATATCATTGAAAGTTAGATATGTTTGGGTTTGGGCATTTTATCAGCCAGCCAATTATTCGAGAAAATAATGGGTGGATCAATCGAAAATGAAAATAAGAGTTAGTTGCAGCTATGACTACTGTTCATAAAGTGGTGTTGTTTTAAGGTGTTTAAGGTCTAACATTAGATTTCACTTGTTAAAAACAGACTAAAAGCACCGGTGCCACTGCTGGAACTAAAGAGATGATTAAGTCATGTGATCAGAGCTACGATACTGGGTGTTAATTGCTCGTGAGCTTCCTGTGGTGTGAATCAGTCGTCCAGGAACAATGGCAAAATGTGTTTTTTAAATGACACGTTGTAAACGACAGCTTAAGTCCAGAGAGGTTTTGCAGCCGCGCAGGAAGAAAACAACACTATCCGAGCTTTGGGTTTGAGTGCCGTGCCAGCAGAGACTGCTGGTATACTGAGGTTTGGAGTGCAGTGTGGATGTGGCTGGTGACGAGTGTGGAGGATGGGCCGGACTGGCAGGATGCCCACATGGGGTCCAGGGAAATAATCGCTGGGGGGAAGGGAAGAGGCCTCGCCACTGAGGCACTGGCACCGTCCCGTCAGCTCGGCGTGCAGTTCAGCCTCTTCAGCTCAGGATTTCCCAGCATGCTTACGCAAGCACAGGATCTGGTGACCAGGATCCATTGGTACCAGTCCCCCCCCCCCCACCCCCGTATGTACAGCATGAGGGTGTATGTGTGCAGCATATTGGCCTTGTTCACAGAAAGACGGATGATGCAGCGGAGAAGAGAAGAAGAAGAAGAAGAGCAAACGGAGATCTTGAGAGCAGAGAAATAAGAGATGTAGAGTTGAAGGAGGTCAAAGGCAGCAGTGGCCCCCTGGGTAGAAAAGCTATAACAAGAAGTTCACTGATTGGTGCGTGCTCCACTGAGTGTATTCATGCTTGTGTGTATTTCTGTGTATTGCGTATAGATACGGGTTTATGTGAAGGCACATTTGAATGTGTGTGTTTGAGGGGGTTCCTGGAACGCAGCCATCCCGTCCTCTCTTAGGGCTCGTAACCACTGCAGGCCTCTGCCCCCCCTCACATATTCAATGTTGCATTTCAATCACTCTTTTACTGCCACATATTCAAAGTAGTAACTATAGAGCAGTGAATCTAACCCATTCCATATTACTTCATCAGATTGATGGTCGCCATTTCACTTCAAGTCTGGGCATACATATTTTTTAAGTAATCCATGCAGCAATTCTGATTTATTAGGACAGATATTACACCCAGTCTTTGATGAAATAAAATCTGAATCATTATTCATGATCCATTCCTCAAGGCCTCAAACTGATCGAACGCTCCAAGAATGCTCCGTTTCCATTTAGCTTCGGGAGATGTCAGACTTGGAGAAAACAACTGTGTGTTACTGGTTCAAATCCAGCGAGGACACTGCCAGAAGGAGGTCTATTCGCCAAACAGGCCCATTTCCTTTTAGCCCCGCGGAGGTGAGAGCTACGATCTGGATGGAGTTGATGTCCACATTATTCACTGCCGCAGTAGGGCCAGAGTGGCTATCTAGCAGGCTACTATGCTTTGTTTTCAGGGGAGGCTCGCTGTGTCGGCTAGCCTGGCAGAGAGGGCGGCTCATGCTCAGATGAGCGATTGGAGGTGAGCTGAGCAGGGGGGGGGGCGTCGCTTTGACACGACTTTTATGTCCAAACATCCTCGACACTTCCTGGGAGGAATTGCGAGACGGGCGAAAAATCAGAGTCCCTGCTGTTACAAAACAAGCACCCCGGGAGCCCCCGCGCGCCACGGGGCTCAAAGCCCCCCGACTCCTCAATGACCAGAAGAGTGCAGAGCGCACCGCCACCAACACCGCCCTCTCTCTCTCTCTCGCTCTCTCTCTCTCTCTCTCTCACTCTCACATCGCCCATTCTCCCCTGGAAGAGGCTACGCTAATTAGCCAGGCTCTAATGAGACAGAATGGCACTGATCTGGTCCGCCGCTGCGCCACCGGGGGGGCCGGGCGGGGGGGGCTGGCGCAGTAGTGGGGGGAGGTTGGTGTATGCCATCTGTCACCCTGCACCCGCCTGGCATGGCAGTCCCCGGAGTGGAGGATGGAGGGGGGGGGGGGCCTTGTTGGTCTGGAGAGGTGGGGGGTGGGTGGGGACACTGATATGAGAAGGAAGGGAGGGTTGACAGAATAACGGGAGCTGCTTCCTTCATGTTTGGAAAATGACTAATTTCCTGTTTGGGGTTGAATCCCATTACTGGTCGTACATGTTTTATGGGGGCTTGAACGCTTTTCTTAGCTTTTAATCTCAGATATTTAGCACATGACCCACCCAACCAGACCAGACCAACGACACACACACACACACACGCACACCACTTCTATCATTCTGCTCCATCCAATGGCTGCTGAACAAGAGGGGCAGATGGCTGACCTTTTGGGTGTCTGTTTCTGGATGGTGGCCGCTCAGAGGTTTGTCTGTTACTGAGAAGCCACTTGGGGTTGACGTGTTAGAAGTCATGTTTTTGCACGGAGAGTCGTTTACAAATGGCATTAGATGACATCATAGTACAGCAAAAAAAATGATACAGTGAAGACGTCGTCGGATACCTTTTAATATCTGGAGCTGCTTTGTATTGGAATGGCCCGGTGCAGTTTGGCCCCACTCTTCATAAGTTGTACTTTCTGTGCGATGGCATCAAGGTGTCTTTTTTTTTTATTTCTTTTTTCTTTGTAGATTAACAGCTCTCCACACCTCTCTCTCTCCCTCAAATTAGGCAGATCAGAGCGAGCATATCGCAACCCCAAGGGACCCAAAAGGGCCGTGCCTGTTTATTAATTGATTTATTTATTTATCTCCTGTGCCTGCTTGATTATTAGGTTGCCATGGGAAACAGGCGAGGCCAGATCCTCTCTATTATTAAAGACACAATTTCTTGAACTGGAGACCTGCTGTCTGAATAATTAATTTAGCGAATGAATTATCTTGCAAACGGTAAGTCTCCCCCTCCCTCTGAAATGAGCCTTTCCCTTATTGTTTAATGGACAGTGGAATTCCCACCAGCCTGTTTTCTCTCCGCTGCTTGTTTCATCGAACCCTCCTCCTCTTAGCGGGA